TGGGGTACCACCATGCTGGTGAGGGACCATCAGCCTCACCAAGCGTTCTCCCTGAATATATACTAAAAGACACAGGAAGAGCCATACCCAACGCGTGGAGGCTGAATCTCACTTTGTTTTGCATGTGTTATCCAGTCTTAGGGGAAAAAAAAAGAAGAATCCATTTAAAAAAAAAGAGAGAGAGAGAGAAAGATTCATTCTTCTGAGCTAAGCATGGCTCTTGACTGCCGTCTGCATCAGCTATTAAATGCCACGTGGGCCCTTTGTCTTCAGGGGGAAAGGAGATGCTGGCCTGGGACCCTGTGGGGCAATTGTGCAGAGGTGTCAGACCCCTCCACCGACACAGCCCCGCAAGCTCAGCTGAGCCCAAAAAAGTTCTCACCTGACCTAGAGAAGAATTGAGTTATCTTGAAAACGCAGGAAGTGTGGCTCTATCCGTGGTGGGCGCCCTTGGATTCCGAGGCAGGTATGTGGGAGTTGGAGAGAGCCCCCTTCCACCTCAGGCTGGGGGGAATCAGCAAAGGGAGGCAGCGATGTGGTGGCCAAGCCCGCCCCCTGCTGGCAATGTCCGGAAGAGCAGCACAAGCTTTCCACCGCAGGGCCCACAGGGATTTACACCCCCGACCTCTCGGACACACAGGCATGAGGACCCACTCAGATTGGGGTGCCTGGACAGGGAGACGGTGAAGCGGAGCTCTTGCTAGAATGAGAGACCGAGATGCCATCTCCAGTCTCCCAAACTTTCCTGGGTGGGGTACCTTCTGGTCCAATCTCCCTGAACCCAGTCACGGGAAGAGGCATCAAGGTGGCTGTGGGGAACGGGTTGAGAGGGAGGGATCCTCCCGTATCCTGCCTTGACTCTCCTACTCCAAGGCCCCCTCCGTGCCTCTTGGGCAACCAGGAGAAGCCAGCCCTGCTACCATGGCCTGATTTCCACTCCCACCCCAGGTATCGATCTTCTGCATCATTCATTTGCCAGGCCTTGGCGGCTGTGATTAGCTCCCTGCACCTCCCCACGGAGCTCCCCGCCCATCCCTCCATGTTCCAGCAAAGCAAAGCTAATACGGGGCTCTAAATGAGGCTTTACCACCCGGCAGCCGCCGCAGCTCAGAGACAGACCTGGCCAATTACATGTAGGCCCCTCGGACCGTCCCAGCCTGTCCCTCGAGGGTGCTTTCCTGACTCGTACAATCCCTTCCAATCTCGCCTCCCGATCCTAGAACCTCACCCATGGATGACGCCCAGATGCCCAGCCTGCAGGGTAGGAAGGCACAGTTTGCTTGAAGTGGGGTGGGGAGGCTAACCTGGAAGAGATCTAGAGAATGACCCCGTGGGGAGTCCCCAGGCAGGGCTGGGGGATTCTCAAAGGCAGCACTGGCAAAGTAGCCTGGATTTGTAGACACAAGGCAATCTTTCCCTCGGGCAATGTCTATAACAGAGAAGGGAAAGGGAACGAAAGTAGGGGAGACCTTCTTGAGGACTTAGGAAAACCCAAGCCTGCTGCTGACTCTAGGGACAACCCGCTGCTGGAGGTGAGGCCTTCTCCAGGGAAGACCCTAGACAGACAGCCATTTTCAAGGCAGGGGTGTGGAACTCAGCAGGAGAAGTCCCAAGCGCCCCCCCCCCATCAACACTCAGAAGCCCCACACTGGGAAACTCACTTCCCGAAATTCCTTCCCCACACTCCCCCGAGGAAGGGGGGGGGGTGGGCCGACTTGGTGATAATTCTGTAAGCGATGTTGCTCTTGTCAAATTATTCAACATCTGTCTTCATGTTCCCACAAAAATTAGCATAGGATAGTAGTTTCTGATGACACCTTTGGTGAAATATTTTGACTTCCCCCCGTAAGTTGCAAACAACCTGTCTTAAGGATAATGTCACTTCCCACTCCTGCATATTAAATAATCCAGGGGTTTGTTGTGTTTTTGTAAGGAGCCGAATCCTGCTCACCGGCCCCTGCCTGGAAGTCTGACTGCTCTGAGAGGGGGACAGGAAGCCAGGATAGAGGATGGGAAGCCTCTAACTCTGCCTTGATAGAGCGTCAGTCACCTCTCCTTCACCTGCTCACTGTCTTTGTCCCAGAACTAGACCTCTGGGGCCAGCCTGAGCCATACACACACACACACACACACACACACACACACACACACACACACACACAGGCCTGGCAGAAAGCAGATTACAGGATCCACCCTGTAAACAACAAACTGGGCTAGAGATTGAGAATCGGGGAAGGAGGAGGCCCCGCTCCAAATGGACCATCTGGTCCCACACGCGGCCCGCTGTAGCATCTGTGGCCCTAAAGAAGAGCAAAGCCACTTGGCCAGACTGAGAGGGCCTCCCCAGTCCTGTGCTGCTGATGGCAGGCTTTAGAGCTGGAGGGTGGACCCCGGCAGGATGCACGGCCTGGGGCTCTGAGCATCTGTCTCCCACCAGATTGCACTGACCCTCACCCACACCAAAGGCCTCCATTCCTGTTCCTCCCTCTGCCTTGCCTTCACCCTCTTATGAGACTACCCTTCATCCGCAGCACAGGCCTGGGGCAGAATGACAGCAGCAGCTGAAGTCTGTCCCTAGCACATACTAACACACTGCCTCCCTACCCCATGCTAGCGAAACCCAGCACTTGGGTCTCTTCTCTCTTTTAGGGCTGCAAGCCTAGGGCCCCATGGCTCTCTTGAGCAGAAAGCTTCACCTAAAAGGCCTCTGTCTTGGTGAGTGACAAGCTCTGGAGACACCTGAGAATTTCATGAAGCATCTTCAACCTGCAGCTCTTCATCTACTCCACAAACCTCATCGGAGTTCCTGCGGGGTGCCAGGTGCCACGCTGGGGCTGGAGGCTGCGGCGGATGGACATCTCAGTTCCTGCACACTACCACTCATTTGCTTCATCTGCTTTGGGGTGCAGAGGGATGGGTGGGGCAGAACAAGCCCTAGCTCTCCACCCTACTTCTTAGGCCAGTCCCAACCCTGCTGGGGTGTCACCAGTGTTTGTAACACTACAAGGCACAGTGTCCCCCAGCTTCTCTTTCTCCTGCTTCCCATGCACCTGCAAGAAGATTTTCCACGCAGCAGCAATCTCCCTGCAGCCCAGCCTCCCCTGGAGCCAAGCTCTCCAAAAGCAGATGCAAAGAACGCCACTGAAGAGCCAAGGGTGGACCCAACGGACCTACCCTTCTTTGATTTGTAACAAGAGCAGCTGGGACCAGGGCACGTGAGAGATGGGAGAAAATAAAGAAAAGGGGAGGGTGCAGAGAAGGAAAAGGACAGGTCTACAGAGACCATGCCTTTTGTTCCTGACCTCTGTCCTCTTTGTCAGGGCTCCTACGTAGGCCCAGAGAACTTTCCTTAAATGCACATTGGGCCACCCCGAGGAAGAAAGACTTCGTGGAGAACCCCAAACCAGATAGCCATGAGATGGGGTCGTCAGACCAGTCCAAGAGCGCCAGAGGAAGGGGCAGGTAGTAGGCTGAGACCTCAAGAGGGTGTATGAGCAGGTTGCAATAGCCCGTTTGGGGTATTCCCTTAAAGGTAGCTGAGGCTAAGCTGCTGGTATCTTTGGTGATGCTGGAGAAAGGAGAACTCTGAAGCCTCTGGTATCTCCCTCTGTCCTAGACAGGGGGGACCCGTTTCATACCCCTCCCCCTCCCCCAATACATACAGCCCCGCCTCTTGCAGCATCCCTGGCTGCCTTGTCTGGCCTATGCCAGGGGCCAGGCTGTAAGAGACACACAAACTAATTAAGAAAAGGAGTTTGGCTGGATGCCTGGGCTGGCCTCACCAGGGAATTAAGCCCAAGCCAGCTAGCTCTTGGAGCCCAGGGATGTATACTTTCCAGATACCCGCTCCCCAGGACGCTCCTTTCTCTTGCCAGGAACAGGCAGAGAGACCCGGGACCTAAAGCTAGTGGTCGGGGGACATGGACCCTGTCACCCACACAGTACAGGTCCAACTCCCTCCACTCTCAAAGAGAATAATTAGATTCTTGGCCCCAGAGAAAGAGGGAGAATGCTGCCCACCCCAGCCACACATCATTAGAAAGTAACTACAAAGCCCACCCTGCGGTCAGGAGAAGGGAAAGTCAGGGCCATAGGCTCTAGGGATTGACTCTCTGTGCATGTTGGGAGAACAACCCTGGTTGGGTAGCATTGAACCAAGGAGCCTTCGCTGAGAAAACCCACTGGCATGAAGTGGAGAAAATGTGGCCAGAATACTCCTTGGCGCGACGGAGCGTGGCTTGGTGATGCGGGAGCAGAGCTGCGTGGCGGGAGGCAGAGTTTAGACACGTAGCCGGATGGGTGCTAGCGGTGTTTGCGTTTCCTGAGGACGGTGACTGAACGTGTCTGTGTGTGCAAGCAGGCAGAAGGAAGCTAGGGCTGGGGTTCTGAGGTTGGGAACCAGGGAGAGGAAGAGCTGGCTCGGGAGAGGTCTGAAAAGGGATGCTGTGAACGGTAGGCGCCTGGGCTAGGGGATGCCCAGCATCGGCTCAGACCGTTAAGAAGCGAGAAGAGGCGGCCGAGCCGTGGCCACTGCCGGGAATGCGAGCCAGCCGCCCGGCCGCGGTGCTGGCGAGCATCTCGCCCGCCAGCCAGCCGCGCACAACTCCGGTTCGCTTGCTTCCACTCGGGAGGCTGATCCAGGGGAAGAAGAAGATTCGGTGGAAACCGCTGCTCCAGCCCAGAGCTTGGGCTCTTTCCGGGTCTCCTGAGCCCATTGGATTCTCCCAAGACTTCCAGATCACTCCAACCCCTGGCAAGGTTTCAGAAAGCCGAGACCTCACCCTGGCACCCCCAGCTTCATGCCATACCCTAGGACCGGCTCCTGGGCTCGGGAGCAGGCTGCTCGGTATCCTGGCGCCCGGTTGAGGGCGGGGACGCGGGCATCTACTCCAGAGTGCAAGCCCAGGGCTTCACCAAGGCCCGGCAGCGCGCACTTTGAGCAAGATCTTGCAAAGTTTCCGCGCGGCTCCGCCAGGGTGGAGCTGGACGCGGGCTCTTACCGTAGACTCCTTGTCCCCGACAGTGGAAGGGGATCAGCGCCAGAAGTAGAAGGCAGGTCACCTCCATCTTCACGGCCAGTGCTTCATCCCCGCGAGGCGGCGCAGCCTGAGAGGCGGCGGGGGGCGCATCCGCCGGGGCACCGCGATGCCCTCTGCCTTCCCTCCTTTTCCCCGAGACGCGACAGAGAGCGCAGCGACCGAGAGCAGGAGGCGACTCGGCTCTGTCCTCTTCCCACAGGGCGGCTGCCCGGGTGGGGACGCTGGGGGCGCTGGCCCAGACCCTGGTGCCTCTGCGCACCGGGCGCAGCAGCCAGCTCCCTGGTCCAGAAAGCTCGGCCACCTAGCAGCCCCGGGTCCCCAGGGCTGTCTGCCGAGGGTGCTGAGCGCGGGGGACCTCTCTGCTGCGGCGGCCGCGCTTGGATCCAACAGGCCACCGATGCCTGACAAACTTGTCGTTCCCCGCCCAGGGGACGCCCCTCGGTGGAGCCAGGCCGGGAGGTTAACCCGCTGGCTCCAGTCCTGCAGTGGGTGCGGAGGGCTCGGCAGCCCGACCCAAGGGAGCGGGGCTAGGCGCCCTTTCCGGAGGCTAGGGCGCCCCGGGTCCCGGTCTTGTCGAGAGCGGGAGCAGCGAGGACTGGATTCGGCCCCGGGGTGAGCACTCCGGGTCCCCGGGTCCACGAAGTTGGCTGAGCCGCCGCCGAGGAATCCGAGGGAGGCGATCGCGTCCCGGCGCCCCCGCGGGAATCCGGAGAACGATTCCAAAGCAAGAGGGACCTCAGCCAGCAGGGAAAGGAGGAAAGTTTGAGTCCTTTGAAAATAATTCGCGCTCTTGCCGAGGCCGGGGCAGCAGCTCGGGAGCCGCCGGCCGCCTCCTGTCTCCGTGCTCCGCTCCCGCCGTCTGGCCGCGGCCGTGGCGCTCCCGGGCTCTGCGATCTCGGGAGAGCGGGGCTGCGCCGCGCCCCAAGTTGGGCGTCCCCGCCCCCCTCCCGGAGGCCTGGGCCCGAGGGGGCCCAAGCGGGCGGGGCCGGGCCGGGCTCCCGGGCACGGCGGCCACTCGGGCTCCGGGGCCGCGAGAGCGCTCCGCTCGCTCGGCAACTTGGGCTTCGCTGTGCTGCTTTCTGGTCCCTCCGAGCTTTTCATTCCGCGCTTCCTCCACCTCCTCCCCACCACCACCACCACCCCGCCTCCCTCTCTCCCTCCTCCCTCTCTCCCTCCTCCCATCTCCGCGATCGGTCTCTCGCTCTCCCACCCTTTGTCGCTCGCTCTCCTGTTTGATTCCCCTCCAGTTAAAAAAAGGAGCCAATTAAAGGCAGCCCAGCTCGCCCGGCCCAGCCTCTGTCCAATTTCCTTGCTTCCCCCAGGACCAATTAGAGAAAACAAAACAGGGCTGGGGGAAGCAGTCTCTCTCTCTCTCTCTCTCTCTCTCTCTCTCTCTCTCTCTCTCTCTCTCCTGCCCCCATCCCTTTCTCTCTCTCTCTCTCTCTCGCTATCTCCGCCTCCCCCACCAGCCCCCTGGCAGAAAAATGTCAGAAAGCAGCAACGGATCCATCTATCCCGAGGACAGTAGCGGGAACGTGGGTTCGGCGCGGGCTCTGCAGCCGCGCACTCGCACACGCTCTCCGCCCGCCCTTGCACAGCCCAGGCTGGCAAAGCCCGGGCCGGGTGCAAACGGTCGCCGCACGCTCGCGGGCCAGGCACCGGCGGCTCGTTGCGGGGACCCAAGCCTGCAGGGCACTGGACACTTAGGAGTGTTTTGTACTTTGGAGAAGGCGGGACTGGAGCCTAGGATCGGAGGGAAAGGCCGAGACGTCTGCTTTCTCCTAGACCAGTGCTGGCGCGAGAGCCGGTTGCCTGCTGTCAGCTCTGCAGGGATGTTGGCTCGGCTTGGGAATCCCGCCACCTCCACCAGCACCCGCCCCTGGCAGAGCCCCGGCCCCTTTCCAAGCCGCCTCGGCCTCTCCCCGGGTCGGGCGCCGAGCCACTGCTAGAGCCGCTGAGGAGGAGGACGCGCTTGCAGCTCGCGTCCTAGCCCTGGCCCACAGGTTGCCAACAGGTTTGCCAGCAAGACCCCAGTGCCACGGGGACACCAAGTGCCTCCTTTAGCCCGCTTCTCGGGCGCCCTGCCTCCCCGCGGGACTTCAGGCGTGGCCATTTGCGCTAGGGGTGTTCGCCCTTCCCGCAGCCAAGCCGGGCCCTGAGTCCAGCACTCGGGGTCTCCCCGTCACCTCAACCCGGCCCTCCTCGAAACCGCGACCAAGACGTAGTTCCTTCCAGACGCCCTTGGGGAGGGGCGTGGGCTGGGGAGCGAGGCGCGCCACCTCCTCGGCGCCTCCGATCGCGTCCTCCCACCCGGGTCCTGCTAATCTCACCTGCTCCACCTGTCGCCGCCGTTATTTATCTCGGCGTGAGCGCAGGGATTCTACCAGAGCGGCCCGTGGGAGCGCGACACCCGCCGCAGCTAACAAGCTCGGAGATTGGATCCTGTTCAGGATCTGCTGCGATGGTGGATCCATGACTCCAGGCATCTGTCCAAACTCAAAGACCTGTTCACCCTAAGAGTTGATTCTCTGGCGTGTAAATTCACATATAAATTAAAAAAATATTAATAACAAACCCCTCCTCCAAGTCCATTTCCCACCGGGATCTTTCTCCTCTGGTCCTCCTGGGCAGACCTGACCTGCTAAGGAGGAGCGGAGAGCATGAGACGTCTGGTAGGTGGGGAGGGGCCCCATCAGCCTACCCTTTCTCAGCTTCCTTTTGATTCATCCAGGCTGTCCACACTTGTTCCTGCCCTCTTCATCTCTTCCCTCCTTCTACCGTGGGGGTCCAAGGTTCAGTGAAGGGTGTCGAAGCCCAACTCAGCAACTGGAGATTTGTTAACTGAACGAATGAATGATGCCCACCATGGGCTAGATCCAGCAGCCCAAAGCAGCCTTCCCCAGGCCCATCCCCTCTACTCACAGCCTCCCATTAACCCAAAGGAAACCATGCATGATCTGCTCCATAGATATCCAGTGTCTTCCCACCCACCTCTCCCACCGGTCTGAAAGGGAAGTGGTACCAACTGAGAGGGTGGCGGTGAGTAACTCGGTTGACTGTGGTGTTGCCATTATTGGAAAGCTTCCAGAATCCCCCAGGAAGCTCCCAGGGAGTCATCCCGATGACTCAGGCCCTCCCTGGCTTTGCCTATTCTGGGAAGCTGTTGTCTTCTTTTCCAGTTAGCCACCCCAACCCCAAACAGCATCAAATTGCTCCTCTTTGGCATGGCAGAGAGGACCGAGATATTGTCTGAACACGCACGGGTCCTGGAGAAGAAAGAGGCCTTGTGATGGAGGAGGGTTGGGGAGGAGGGGGAGCAGAAGTCCGGGGCCTGGCAGGCTGGGATTGAACATTTGCTGTGCTAATCCACTTGTGAATACTCGCTGTGTGTAGTGTAAACACCTCGACAGCCTGTTCATGTGCGCCTGTCAGCTCAGTCATTTCCTCCCCCAGTGTTCCAGGCCTGCTGCCTGGGACCGAGCCCCAGAACTGACAGCGGCAGGCAACCCCAGAGAAAGCAAAATGCCCTCAGTCTTGTGTTCCAGCCCTAATCTGTCTGGGCCTCGACTTCCCCAGGTGTCAAGCAGATAAGATCCCTACCCAACAGAGTGGTTGAGAGAACTGGGTACCCGCCACAGGGGCAGAGGCTTCGTGTCACGTGACAGGCCCTACCTGGCCTGTCTCACAGGCTGCTCAATGGTCAGAGGCTCCTGACGTAAGTAGCCAGGCTGAAGGGCCTAGCTCTTTTCCCCTGAGCTTACCTACCTACCTGCACGTACATACCCAAGCCCAGAGGCGACTGGCCACATTTTCATAAGAAGCAGCTCCGGTTCTCTGCACGCACCAGAACAGCGCTCTGGACCCCATGTGGGGCTGCTAAGAGTGTGAGGCATGAGAGCTAGACCCCCCCCCACACACACACACACACACGACCTTTGGGAACCCCTGAGGGGACCCATGGAGCCTAGGATCAGAGTGTGGCAGGCTACTTGGGGCCCTCCTTCCTTTCTCTCGGAGGAAACACCGCGGTTGGGCCCCTGAACTAGCTGACGGCTGGTTGTGTGACTAAGATGGGCCGGGGACGCAGGGTCCCAGGGCAGGGCTCAGCCAGGGCAGCTAGCTGCAGGCTCTAATGACCTCACTGTTGCTAGATAGCTCTCCATTCTCTTCCAGCCTCTTGCTCTCCTCCTGTGAGTCAGAGCCTGGCAGGGAAGAGAGGAGGAGAGAAGGGAGACTCGGCCTGGCCCCGATGGTGTGGTCGCCTTGCGAGGTAGATTGCGTCTGGAAATCATACGGTGGCAGGTATTGATTGGATCGCACAGCAGGCTGAGTTCTGGTCAAGGGGAGGAGGCTGGCTGGGAGGGGGGGGCAAGGAACCGGGAGAGTTATGACCCCGCTGAAAGACCAGTTTATTAATTCGAGCTCTAACAAATAGCCAATTAATGGTTCCAGCTGCTAATTAGTAAGCAGTTAACTTCTGTTATAAATTGCACAGCTCAAGACTAAGGATAATGCAATCTTCCCATGACAGTCTCAGTGAGGGGGAAACCTACCAAATTTTGTCACCAAGGCTGTAAACCTGCCACTCACTCCCTGTCCCCTCTACACCCAGGTAGGCCCTGCTGACAGAGTGCAGGCTTCACATAAACACACTCATCTTTATGTGCACCACTCATTGGTTGCCCTGGGTGCTGTGGACCCAACACAAACAGAGACAAGATCCCTTCTGCAGCCAGTGAGATGGTTCATCAGGCCTGCTACCAAGCCTGAAGACCTAAGTGCCATCCCCAGGGCTCACACAGTGGAAGGAGAGAACCGATTCCCAAATGCTGCCCTGACTCCCACAGGCATGCTGTCACACACACACACACACACACACACACACACACACACACACACCATAAACCCAGCACTCATGTAAAAAATATTCTTATTTTTGATTTTTCAAGACAGGGTTTCTCTGTGTAGCCCTGCCTGTTCTGGAATTTGCTCTGTAGATCAGGCTGGCATCGAACTCACAGAAATCCTCCTGCCTCTGCTTCCTGAGTGCTGGGATAAAAGGCA